TAGGCGCGAGCTCCTATGAAATGGGACACAAAAGATATTGAGAACTCTTTGAGGGAAGCAAATGACGCTGGGGGAAGCTTGTTGAACCATGCCAAGGCTGAACCCTTCAGAGTGATGACGAAGGCTTGGCATCACACAAGGTCTTGATATCCATGTAACTCTATCTAGTTCTTGTAGGTATTGAGGTAGTCCATGGGATTTTTATTCCCATCAAAAGCCTCTATTTGGGGCATTCTGAATTTTGGAATGANCCAAGGCTGAGCCCTTCAGAGTGATGGCGAAGGCTTGGCATCGCACAAGGTCTTGATATCCATGTAACTCTATCTGGTTCTTGTAGGTATTGAGGTAGTCCATGGGATTTTTATTCCCATCAAAAGCCTCTATTTGGGGCATTTTGAATTTTGGAATAAGGGAAAAATGTAGCACCCCAACAGTGAATGGGGACTCAGTTTGTTGTACCAAAGCATCCATCATCACAAGGGTCTTACCCCGCATAACTTCCTTCATGTGACTAAGCTCTTGCTAGATATCTTTGAAGCACTGCTCCCAGTATTGCTCGCTACTTTCCTGCTGGACAGGAAGAAAATCATTTTTCTCTATCTCTTCATTTTGACTATGTACTTCTTCATTTTCACCATTCCTAGGAGGCAGATGGGGAGCGTGGCTTGACTTCCTTGAGAGGGTCAAGGTGTCATTACTCTCCTTGTGGGGGACCACCTTGGGCTGGTCTTGTCTGCTGAGGATCTTGCAAGAGCTTTAAGAGCTATTCGTTCTACTGAAATAGACTTTGGTTGACTAGGCAAATAGCCTCCAATTCGTTATTCGTGGGGGGATCCGCCATGAGAGGAATGGCCTCAGCGATGGGGAAGAAATCTTGAAGATTCTCGTGTTGCCTGCCGCTAATGACTTCTTGTTGGTTCTGCATTCGTGGAGGATTCACTTGGTTTTTGCTCATATGGCGAGTTAAGACCATTAGTTACTGAAAGATCAGCGTATTTGTAATAAGAACAATTGTTTCCCACAGACGGTGCCAAACTGATGGTGTATAAAACATGGGTGAGAAGAATGTGGTTCATATAATTAAGATTTGGCTTGAGCTTCTGAGCTCAAGAGGATTACAACAAGATCCTTTTGGAAATTGGGACGATATGCACAGTGGAGTTATAGTGGTTCACCAGCTCAGGAGCTTGACTAATTCACTCTTTAATAGAGTCTCTTGCTCCTTGGGTTTATAATCATTATCGAAGCGATTTATAGAGTATTTTTTTTTTGATACAATTGAGATGGCGTGCCTCGCATTGGAGGCATTATACATTATTTATAGCTAATTCCTAACTTTAGGGGATTCGCAGTGAGATCTTTTCCTTCTCTTTTTCCTTGTTATTTCTTCTGAGGGGAGCTCGAGGTCTAGATCACTGAGCTCTGGATATCTCATCTGACCTCCTTATCTAACCTCACTTCCCGTGCTCGTACTTAGCTAGAATTCCTTATGGGTATCATCAGTTTCTAATCTCAGGCATGGTTATACTCTGTTCCAATATGATGATTCAGCGAATGAAATCAAAAACAGAAACTCAGGGAATCACAGGTTGACACTGCACTATTATTCATTGATTTAGAAGCAGATCATATGCAGATAGGTCCTCATAATTTCTATGGTTACTCTTTGGAAACCATCTAAGTCGCCTATCAAAATTGCAGCAAAATCATGTACAAGTATGTATGTCATTTCTTCTTTTTAAAGAAGAAACCCGGTAGACTTACATGGCATTATTATTTGGATATACCTCCATTGTAGTGATGAGATGATGGGATATACTTCCTTTCAAAACCCCTTCCCCGATGAGAAAGCCCACACAAACCCAATCCACCCATGGAAAAAGAAAAAGAAATGAGAAGAGCACCAAAAAGAAAATCTTAAGGTGTCACATAATGCAAAAAATTTGAAGAATTGCCTCGTATCACGAAACTGTAACTGACCTTGGCAGGATCAGCTACAAAAATCTTGGAGATCAAATGTCAGCATTCTGCAGATATATGAACATAATCTGTAATAGAGTACTGCACATTCAGAATTCGCCGCATGAAACAAGCAAATACTTGAGCAAAAGTAGTTCAGTTGTGATGTCATAAAAGTAATTCATCTAGGGTTTCTTATGGCTTCTTCTTTCTTTTGTACTGATTCTGTGGTCCCCTCTTTTTTTTGGTCCTGTAGTGATATCTATCAACTGATGCCNGTTATTTCTTCTGAGGGGAGCTCGAGGTCTAGATCACTGAGCTCTGGATATCTCATCTGACCTCCTTATCTAACCTCACTTCCCGTGCTCGTACTTAGCTAGAATTCCTTATGGGTATCATCAGTTTCTAATCTCAGGCATGGTTATACTCTGTTCCAATATGATGATTCAGCGAATGAAATCAAAAACAGAAACTCAGGGAATCACAAGTTGACACTGCACTATTATTCATTGATTTAGAAGCAGATCATATGCAGATAGGTCCTCATAATTTCTATGGTTACTCTTTGGAAACCATCTAAGTCGCCTATCAAAATTGCAGCAAAATCATGTACAAGTATGTATGTCATTTCTTCTTTTTAAAGAAGAAACCCGGTAGACTTACATGGCATTATTATTTGGATATACCTCCATTGTAGTGATGAGATGATGGGATATACTTCCTTTCAAAACCCCTTCCCCGATGAGAAAGCCCACACAAACCCAATCCACCCATGGAAAAAGAAAAAGAAATGAGAAGAGCACCAAAAAGAAAATCTTAAGGTGTCACATAATGCAAAAAATTTGAAGAATTGCCTCGTATCACGAAACTGTAACTGACCTTGGCAGGATCAGCTACAAAAATCTTGGAGATCAAATGTCAGCACTCTGCAGATATATGAACATAATCTGTAATAGAGTACTGCACATTCAGAATTCGCCGCATGAAACAAGCAAATACTTGAGCAAAAGTAGTTCAGTTGTGATGTCATAAAAGTAATTCATCTAGGGTTTCTTATGGCTTCTTCTTTCTTTTGTACTGATTCTGTGGTCCCCTCTTTTTTTTGGTCCTGTAGTGATATCTATCAACTGATGCCATCGTGCCCACGATCCCTAAATGGTTATGATGATACACAGAAGAAATCCCAAGAATGAGCTCAGGTGTAGAGGTCAAACTGGGAGATTGAGTTAGTTGTCTAGAGCTCCTATGGCCAGACCTCGAGCTCCCCTCAAAGAAATCAAGAGGGAAATCAAGGAGGAGACAGTTGGCGCTCCCAAGAAAGCAGAAGACTATAATCAAGGCACAGGACTCTCAACCAACCAAGATTCTTTCCAAAAAAACAAGAGAGATCCCATGAATGAAGGACAAAAATCTCCTTGTAGATCCCTTAGTAATAGGAACAGGGCTATAAATACTGTATAATATCTCCAATGTAAGGGGGAGGAACCCTAGTGTTATCAGAAATACTCTGTAAATCACAATCGACATTAATACAGACCCAAGGGGCAAGAGACTCCATGAAAGAGTGAATTAGTCGAGCTCCCGAGCCGGTAAACCACTATACATCCACTGTGTGAATCATCTACCCACTACCCGACTGTCCCCTTATTTCACTCGCGTTTTGCAGCTCAGATCTATACTTACTTGAATAATCATATAATCTGTTCATCCACAGTAAACATACACCATCAGGCTATGTGCACAAATATTTCTTTTACCAGAGAGTGCATGTTCGTTAAGTGCTCCAAAGGTTGTCCCCCTCTCCCCAAGACATGTGGCACAGTGGAAGTAGTTCAGGATCTAAAAGGGCACCGAGCTCCTTGTTCCCATACTGATCCCTGCCAAGTTGGACGGAAGCTAAGCTAAGACTTACCCATTTGGATGTTGTTGGACTTCCTTCTTTGGGGTGCGGCCATCCTAAATGCAGGGTGGGCAGGCAAGCTATGGATGAGCCATTTGGGTCATGATGCACAGAAAAGCCCATTAAACATTTTTGTTTTGGATGGGCGGCCCATACCGAAATCCCACCATTATGAAAACTTTACATGTATACCACATTTTTGGTAGACTAAAAGTTTGGAGAGAAGACTATGATACCCAAAAAAAATGCAATATCGTACCT